AGTAATTTTGACGCCGCCTCATATTTCCCCACGTTGCAGAGAATCAAATGGAAACGATAGTGACTGATAGTAGAAATGGAATGGAGAGCGGGATTATGAAGTGCTTCAGCTAGACCCTCCAAGGGCCACATGTCCCCAATTCGAGGTACTAGCAGGGTCCTGGTGTAAAGTGTTTTGGCACGAATCTCAGCCAGCCGGCCCAGCGTTCGTCTGGGATTTCACGGGGGCTCGTGCAATTCTTACATTCAGATTTGTGCCGAGAGCTGCATGTCTTTCTTATCAAATCAGTTATTTGCAAGCAGAGGTGGAACTATTGATTCACTGACCTGCAGAATTTTTTCCAAACCGGTCATTGCTTACATGGCCATCAAGGCTTTTGCATAGTGCAAAGCATACACCCCGGCTAAATCTGTTCACTGCCTTTGGGTGATGGGCCCTGCTTGGATTCTTCCGGGATGTAGAAACCACAGAAGGTCACTCTGCTGTCAAGAATGGAAGCATTCGCATTCAGTCAGCTCGCGCATTGCCCTCCATCAACTCATCAGTGCCGGCACCATGAGGCTTTAGGACTTAAAGGGATCATGTAGGGATGTTTGTCATTATGTGTATAGATTTATATACGAAGTAGGGATTGTATAGGGTCTAGGGGACTATTAGGCCTAATAATGGAAAATGAAATGGAAACTACAAGAAGTAGGTTATCTGTTGGGGTTACGTGGGGCTTGTATAACGGGATATTACCCCAATAATATCTCTTGCCAACACGTTGAACTATGTGCCGGGCCACTTCGTACAAATTCATTCAATCCTATATTCAGCCCTGCAGTCCGTCAAAGAGAAAGGAGAACACAGTCGAGCGTTTGCAACAGGCTTAGTGCTCTGAGCAGCGAAGAACTGGGCCGTCCTACGGAAGATCGTGCCAGGAGCCCGGCCGTTTTAGGTAACTTTACAGGATACGTATCTAAAGGCCTCGGGTTCCAAGTTGCGCTTTGGATCTTGTTGAGGCTGGGACTGTGAGTCAAGGGCTGTTCATTTTGAGCACAGCTTTAGCAAATCTGATCGCTTTGCAGCACCCACCCACAGACACCCTGTCCTGGCCGAGTGCTCTACCCGTTGGTGGCTTCAGGTGTTGGCAGCGCAGTGCTTGGTGGAGCAGCTCTTGTCCAGGATGTCCTGAGGGTCATAGGATTGAAGACTGGGTTCTTTGGAGTCTACATAGATCCGAAGGCGGATTGTGAAGATTGACGCTAGGAGGGAAGGGGGTTGATGCTGCAAGGCAACGAACTTGATCAGCGCAGGTGTCAGTTGAGTTATTAGAGTCATTGGGGGATCTATACGAGAGTCGGTTTCCGGCGAGTCACCTTGCAGATCGCATGGGGATGCCCCTAGTGAGTATGCCCAAACCTGGATA